CAAACGCAGACTGATCGACTTCACCATCCACGTCCGAAATCCCAGGACCAACTTCGACCGAATCCGGCGACACCACGATGGAATTCCATTGATCCCACATGCGCGCCTTAAGGTCGAAAAGTTCGGGCTGCATATCTCTTTCCCGATTCAGGCTTTCCCGCCGCGCGGAGAATTCTTCAGAAAACAAATACCTTTCGTTCTGAGTTAGGGATAACCCATGAACGATCCCGCGACATTCGCGATAATAACCATGCGCCCGTTGAACAACTTCGGCATCCGAACAACCGGTTGCAAATCGCTCACGACGAGCCTTCATTTCTTCGGCAACCTCTCGTTTGCCTGCATGACGAGCACGACGAATCCTTTGGTCAGAGAGCTCCTTAGCACGACGAGATCTGGCCGCACACTCATCCCTCACGCGAGCAACCTCCCTCTCAACCACTTCTTCAGTTCGGTTGGCCTCGACCTCTGCCCGAAGACGAGCAACTTCTTATTCAGCCATGTTCGCTCGAAACTCGGCAAGGCGACCTTCAGCGGTACAACTGTCTAGGGCCCGGCTCATGACAAGGAAACCCTACCAAAAAAAAAAAAAAATTTTAAGCAATAATATTGAAACTGCTCGAAAAAGAAAACAATAAACACACATACCTCATTGGCCTTCTCAGACCCCCTAATGAACTCCGGGACTTGATCATGGTCGATGTCTGGAAAATGGGAGGTCGATGATCTGCCCGCCTTCGTCCAGACGCCTTCTTCCGTCTGACTATCAACGAAGTCCTTGAGAATATTGTCAGGAGAAGCCGCGCGTTCAGAGTCATCATCTTCGACAACCGGATTTTTATCCCTTCGGAAGCTTGATTTGCCACTCCTCAACGAGGGAACATACGGAATAAATTCCCCGATAAACGGATCCTCTTCATAAATCGGAGAATCCGCAAAGAGTCGAGATCGGAAGAGGGCAACCGCTTGGCGGACGCGTCGCGGAGAAAAAATGCACCAACCAACTTCACCACATTTGAGAGAAATGGTGATGTTCTGGAGATCCGCGGGATACGGAGGCAAAGGGTTGGTCACTGCGGAAAAATAGAAACGAATAAAAAAAAATAAGAGGAAGAGGATTCACATGAACTCGATTCACATACCTTTCCGACCCCCAAGGTCGTAAAAAGCGGAATGTAACCCTCCTCGACCGACTCACTGTCGATATGAACGTAGAAGAAATTTTTCTTCCGAGAAGTAGAAAGCGTTGAGCAGCCCGTAACAATTTCGTCACGAGGGCATAGAGTGATCCTCTGCGATTGCCCTGTGGGCTTCAACAGACTCTCGAGATGATCAACGTTAAGGGTAATTCCCTGCTCATAACTCAGCGTCAGGAGACCAACGAGTTGCTTTAAACCAGGGCGAGTCAGCTGACTGATCGATAGCCCCAGCCTGTGAAGGTAATGAACAATGCTTTTCGGGATCGGAAACCATAAGTGGCATTGTTGCAAGAAAATATTGTAACATGTGAAAAAACCCTCGGGCGCATCCTCGTCACCCTCTCCGACAAGTGGGAGACGAAACTCAACAGCCTCTGGAACTAGGCAAATTTCGTGCATGTAATCGATACTGTTAAAAAGAGCCGAGCTCGGATATCCGGAAGTTTGATCGACGTCCGACAAAGCTGGAACCCAAGTCCCAGGCCTAGCGGACCCCGACTCATCTCCCAATGCCCAAAAAGCCTCGCGTTCCGTCGGATCGATTAACGGGGACGAATACTATTCTTTCGGAGCTGAAACTGGAGGCTGCGAGCTCGTTCTCTCAGAATTGCGAGAACTGGAACTAGTTGAGGAACGAGTCTTTCTTCCTGAAAACATGTTTGAAGATCCTCAAAGAAAGTAGAGAGAAAAATTCTTGGATAAATTGTAGAAGATGGGGTAAAGAATTCAAAATTTTCCTCCATCTACTTATAGGTAAAAATTTTACTATTCACCCTTGGACTTTTGGCCAATAAAATTCCGCCTAATTCTACCAAACTCGCCAAACAACCTCAATCTACTCGCAAGAACCCCACGATTCTTATGAGCTGGGGGGCTAACTATTGGGGTCAAAATCGGTACGACGGAATCAATAGCCAAAACTTCCCGCAAAAATAAAAAAGGAATAGTTTTATAAAACCCAAGAAGTCGTTTTATAAAACTCAAAGATCGTTTTATGAAACTCGAGAAGCCGTGTTATAAAACTCGAAGAATCGTTTTATAAAACTCAAGAATCATTTTATAAAACTCGACGAATCGTTTTATAAAACTCGAGAATCGTTTTATAAAACTCAAAGAATCGTTTTATAAAACTCGAAGAATAATTTTATAAAACTCGAAGATCGTTTTATAAAACCCGAGAATCGTTTTATAAAACTCGAAGAATCATTTTATAAAACTCGAGAATCGTTTTATAAAACTCAAAGAATCGTTTTATAAAACTCAAAGATCATTTTATAAAACTCGAAGAATCGTTTTATAAAACTCAAAGATCGTTTTATAAAACTCGAAGATCGTTTTATAGAACTCGAAGATCGTTTTGTAAAACTCGAAGATCTTTTTATAAAACTCGAGAATCGTTTTACGAAACCGCAAAAAAACCGAAACAGCCGTAAAACGCGAACTAGTCCATCTCGACTAGTTCGCCCACCGGCGAACTAAGCCAAGCTGGCTTAGGTCGCCGTTGGACGAACTAGAGACTTCCTGGACGTCCCGAGCCTCGATCTCCCGCATCCCCGATTCCAAACTTACGTATTTCGACACGGTCGCATTCTGAACCACGGCCGAAATGTCTCCCGTTCCATCTCGATCCGACCTATCGTTCGAGTTTTACGATAAAAACCGTAAAACTTCGTTTTCTCGACAAAGAACTCGAGGAAATCGTATAAAACGGCAACGGTTAAACGAAACACCGAACATTGCCTACACTATACGATCTATTCGAGATTTCTCATTAAAATCGTAAAAACACGTTTTTAATAAAAACGTTGAGTAAATCGTAAAAAACGCGTTTTTAATAAAAACGTCGAGTAAATCGTAAAACCTTACGATTAGCTCGAGGAATTTACTAAAAACAGCATCAGATCAAGAAACGATCCCGTACAAAGTCGGAAAACGGATGTATCGCAGAACGGCCCGGAAGGTCCTAAAACGCGATAAAAGCCCATCTCGCGATCTTAATGGAATCTAATCTGAAGATACGATAACGTTTTGACAGTTTACTCGCAGGAGGAAAATAAATTTCAAGCTTGTAGATAAAAGGCAGGTTTGAAGAGAAATAGAAGATTTCCGCGGAAGAAAAGGAAGGATCGAGAAAAATGGAAGATTCCCGATATACTCAAATCTGGGCGAAATGGAAAGACCGAATGGCCAAGGCGAGGAGTATATAAGTAAGAGGTCTAGGGCAGAAGCAAGGGACACGATTTTCAGAGCTCTCACCACCAGAAATTAGCATTTAGGAATATTTCCGTTTTCTGTTAGCGAGCTGCGTCTCCATTAGGGTTTTTCGTTCTTAAGCTTTTCGGCTACTCTTTTTGTACCAGTTCTACGCAGATTCGGAATAAGAACCTCTTTGCTCTCGATTTCGTTTATTCTTTTTTGAATTCTAAGTTTATCGTTTTCTTAATCTTCGTTGTGCGGTTCTGCAGATAACCGGTTCCTCTGGAAACTTAGGGTGTTTTCCGAAGTTTCCTTATTTACGATTATTTGACAGTAGATGCATTTCGGTTCCCACATCATTCTCTCCTTCTCCTTTCATAAAACCAAAACAATCTTTTTTTTAAGAACCCATAATTAAGAAACTTCCATTGGACCACTTAAAATAAGGGTTTCTTAATTAGAGTTCTTAAGCCCACTAAATATATTTATATAATTAAACAATCATTAAGAAACTCAATTAAGAGTCATGGGATTAACATGTTCTAAGGGGTTGATTGGTAGAACATTAGCATAAGCATTATGCTCTATATGATCCAATCAACATTTGGTAAAGAAGCATTTAGAAAAACATTTACCAAATGCAAAAATGCTCTCCAAATGCTCTTTGCTCAATGCTCTCATATAGAGCTTTTGGAAGAGCATTTGCATATAGAAAATATAAAATTTAATAAAATTTATATATAAATAATTTATTTTTGTTTAAAAATATAAACAATATATTTATAATTAAATATAAATTTCTATTTAAAAAAATAAAAAATTATAATTATAATTTTTTTTTAAAAAACAATATTTCACATTTAAAATAAAATATAATTTATATAATTACATATATCATTCATTATTTTTTATAACAAACCTAACATAATATAATTTATATATTATCGATATAAACATATTATTTAGACACTAATAAATAAATTATATATTAACTTTTATGATAACTTTATATATGGGTAATTTAGTGCTCTACCAATAAATAAATAATAATTTATATATAAATTATAATTAATTTATATATAAATTATAATTAATTTATACAAAAAATATAATTAATTTATTTATTTAATAATAATTATAATTTAACAATAATTAATTAAATTATAACTATAGTTTTATATATGAGTAATATGTTATATCCAAAAATAATTTAATATTTTTAAAAAGAATATAATTTATATAATGAAAATTCCTTATTTTTAATAAAATTATATATTATTAATATTATATATATTATTTTAAAAGAAATATATTATTTTACTAACTATTATGACAATTTTAAAATCGTATACTGCTAAGGCTCTATCAATCACTTTATTAAAAACTTTAATAAAATCATACAGCTTCTGTAGCATACTGCTTCTGCAGCATAGTGCTACTGTTTTATTGCTGTACCAATGGAGGCCTTAGACTCTCTTTTGGTTGATGAACACAAAAGTACACGGAGGTGTAGCCCATTAGGCCCTTGAAAAAGCCCAATAGGTTGATCGAATGCTTCATATAGTTTCAAAAAGGGTTCTTCTGAATCATCCAAAGGAGAGAAACCTACGATCACGAGAGACAGAGGGGCAAAGATTCGTTCCTAACCGTTTCGATCCGAACTCGTAAGCTCTCTAATCTCTCTTCAATCACTTTCACGTCTTGTTGTTGTAGTTTGATTATGTAGTTCTGTAGAACCTCCGATCATCTTATTCGTTTTCGGAAGATTCAAAATTAGGGTTGTTATGATCGGAATCCATAGCTATTTCTTTGGTCCTATGTATTTTCAATTGAAATTGGCTTTATCATGATTGTAGAAGAAGAAGCTAAGAGGCGTCATCATGATAGGGTTATTCAAGGTTAAGGAGAAGCAAAAGGAAGAAGCTAAGAGTAACAACGCAAGAGGAGCCTCCGGCAAGAAACAATCTGCTGGTGAACTTCGTCTTCACAAAGGTTCTCTCTTTACATTGTTGTGATTCTTCAAGGGTTTTATCTTGTGTTATCTAAAGTCTAATACTTTTATCCTTTTACCTTTTCCGATCTTTGGTTTGTTGAAAATAGATATAACAGAGCTGAACCTGCCAAAGTCTTGTTCTATCTCTTTTCCTAATGGAAACAATGACTTGATGAACTTTGAAGTCACCATTAAACCCGACGATGGCTATTACTTGTAAGTTGTTTTATTAAAATATATCTTCCCTTTCGCCTTTTTCTTCTCTCCGTTGTTGAATTTGCTTACTGATTCGTTCTTGTGTTTACCAAAAACAGAGGTGGTAGATTTGTTTTCACGTTCCAGGTCTCTCCTGTGTACCCACATGAAGCTCCAAAAGTTAAGTGCAAGACCAAGGTTAGGCTTCTCTCTTCACATACATGTTTGTTTGTTTATTTGTTTGTTGATTCTTCTTGTAATATCCTTATAAAGGAATATGTATGTATGTAGGTGTACCATCCGAACATCGATTTGGAAGGAAACGTGTGTCTGAACATCTTGCGTGAAGACTGGAAACCTGTTCTCAACATCAACACTGTCATCTACGGTCTTTTCCATCTCTTCACGGTATATACAAGAATCTCCATTACAGATAGATGCTTCTTTTATAGTGGGACTTACGTGTTTTTTGTTTCTTCACAACAGGAACCCAATCACGAGGATCCTCTGAACCATGACGCAGCTGCGGTTTTAAGGGATAACCCGAAGCAGTTTGAGATTAATGTCAAGAGGGCTATGAGTGGTGGCTATGTTGGCCAAACCTCGTTCCCTCGTTGCATCTGAGGTCAAAACAAAAGCTATGGTTCTGTTTCACATTACTCCTCTTCTTTTTCTCTATGACACACTTGTGGTGTTTACCCTTTTGTACATTTGACTTTTATGATCGGTTTGCATTTAGGATTCTTGTATATTTATTTTACAGCAAATTAGGCCTTAGTGGTCGTTTTTTGAACAAATCTTATATATTAAAATAGAAGTCATGACTTGATTTCATGTGTGATATTTTAAAAAATTGACTATTACTAGAAGAGTGATTTAGTAAACTACCCATATTTGAAGTTCAAATTAGCAAAATACCATTAATTGGACATGAAGGACACTGATACAACAATTTGGCAAAAAAATGTTGAGAATGCCCTTTCTCTTTCCTCTCATTAACATGAAGCGTAAAAACATTTGTTAACATATAACACTTCTGTTAACGTCTACAATATTTGTTAACAGCCAACACATTTATTACCGCGAAGCGTAAAAATAATTGTTAACAGTTAACACTTCTGTTAACGTCTACAATATTTGTTAACAACGAACACATTTATTAACGCGAAGCGTAAAAATAATTGTTAACACCTAACACTTCTGTTAACGTCTACAATATTTGTTAACCGCTAACACGACGTCGAATCTAAAACCCAGAAAATTGATATCATCAAAAAATTGAGGATTCAAAGCCACTTATGAAAAAAATAATGAAATTTAAAATTTAATTGTATATAAAATGATAGAGATTTGTAAAATAATTAGGGATTGGAGAGAAAAAAAAAGGGTCAAAATTGAGGATTCAAAGCCACTTATGAAAAAATAATGAAATTTAAAATTTAATTGTATATAAAATGATAGAGATTTGTAAAATAATTAGGGATTGAAGAGAAAAAAAAAAGAGGAGAGATGTCAAAGAGAGGAGAGATAGTGTAAAAAAGGGTAAAATAGTCCAAAAGAAAGTGATTGTCACATCATGGGCAATTCTCTAATTATAGGTGTCAAATAGGGCACTTTAGCCAATTAAGTCTTACTAGAAAGTTATGTTACATTAACTCTCTAATAATTTTATCATTATTATATCTTATGGAAAATCATATCTATGATAACAAAGATACGCTTAATAATTTGGTTTTGGTAAATTATTTCACACCTTCCAATTTAGTCACACAAAATATGTCAATAAGTATAAGTTTAGGAATCTTCTATTATTTATAAGGAAATATGTCAATAATAGTTAAATGCATCCACAATATATTAACAAAAATCACAGATTCGTAATATGGAAAATTTCTGTACCCTAACAAAATTTACAAGCTATATATAATAGATAAATTTATTTCGATGTAAATTTTTAAAATTCTATTGTTTAAAAAAAAATTGTTTAAAAAATTATTTTTAATAAAATTCTTTATAATATTAATTTATGAAGATATAAGTTTAGTTTTTAGCAAAAATTTCTTTGAAGTTTATATTATCTTTGCAAATTAATGTATACTAATATTTAATCAAGTTCTTTTTATATTAATTTATCTAAAAATGAAATACCAATCTAACAAACAATAAAATATAGAAGAAAAAACAAACACATGTTTGAAAAACATGTATAATATAAAAAATTTGAAACAATCTATTTGATTAAAACACGTATTATATAATATTATTATGTTTGAAAAACATTTACTATACATATCGTAAATATGTGATTACTATAATATATACCAATTTACAAATGAAAGCAAAACGTTTATGAAATTAACTTTAAGCGAAAACAAACACCCGCGCGGTTGCGCGGGTTAAAATCTAGTTAAGGTTTTAAAATGTGAATTAATCAAGTTTACGAATAAAATAACTACTTATTAAGAAATTCTTAATTTTGAACAAATTTTAGCACAAATATATTATTAATTATTTATTAACATAATGCATCTATGTTGTGCCATGTATACATTGGACCACCACGAAGTCAGACAAGATCGCCTTAAAAGATGTATGAACCCAAATAGATAGAATATCATAATATTAGTTCACATGTTAATTAAAACATTGGCTAAACAGATCAATCACCAATTCTCAAGAGCCATCTAGAGATCCACCTTCTTTAGCTGGTTGTACACAGAGTCATCGCCTACACTAGGTTACGTGTCGACATACTTATAGAGACACTTGTCATATACCCTTTATGGAAATGTAAAATACTATAGATTAACGTGTTAATGACAAGATTTATTTAGTTGCTAACCATGTGGTCAAAGCACCTAATCGCAATATGGAATGCAGAGTGACAGGTTGGAGCTCGAAAGAGGCAAAGATAAAGGAGAGAGAAAATATAATAATGCATCTAAATGTATATATATGGAAAGCATATGACTAATGACTTCGATTCCACGTGAGAATATCAATATACTAGATGGTTGTCCACGATGGATAAAACTGTATATATAATTATTTGTATTAATATTTTGGTTTGGTTAATCTATGGGTTTTGTGGTATGGTTGTGTGTTTTCTATACTATAGCAGCATTTCAATACCGGTCCTGATAATATTAAGGCCGGAGCAAATTAAAAATTAAGACCTATTTATTCAAGTTCATTAGTCATAATGATAAAAAAAAAAGTTCATTAGTCATAAAAATTTGAAAATCTATATATTTGAATGAAAATGGAGAAAGGAGTACTCGAACTTATAACCTAGGATTAAATGTCCATTAACCACTACACTATTTGAAGATTATAAATTTTACTGGCTAGTTAAATTCTTATACAAATTGAGGCCGGAAGCCCAAACTTATAATGCTTCCTCTTAGGATTGGTAGTACATTAATATGTAGATGTATCATGTATGCTTTCATTTCTTTTAGGAAAAATGTTATGTGATGAAGAACAAAATAAATCACATAGATAAAACATCAATTTATCATAGTTTAAACAACGTTTGACTTTTAAAAGTTTAAAGGGAATAACATCGTTTCTTTACTTCTTCTTTAACCTATCATGCTGAATAAGGATGCTTAATTACGCTTTCAGCATGACTTAGTTTTAAGGCTCAAAAACTAAGTTTGAAATAAAATATTGTATCCACTACAAGATTTTTAAAAAGAAGATGAAAATATGCAACCACAAGATGGTGGTCTAGTGGTAGGTAAACTTTAGAATTTACTAAGCAATTCAGATTCAAGATATCACACTATATTTTATTTTGTGATTACACGGATATAAACATATCTTTTTTTTTTTAAGTACTTTATTAATCAACCCGGAATCGGGAATCAAATATCGGTTACAAGCTCAGTTCAAACAAAAAGGTCTAAATCAAAACGAAACTTAACTAGCTTCGCTCAACCACCACACCGGCGCGTTCCGCTAGACAGCTCCGAGAATCTTAGACTATCAAGATCCGTTCTCTACCGTTGATAGCGACCACGAGAGGGTGGCGTTCACCTCGTTTCCTCGGTTGCCGGAACATCCCGTACTATCACCGGAGTAGCTGGATCTTAACGATCTCCCCAAACTTGTCGCCTCTACTTGCAATGAAGCTCTAAATGCCAAAGGGGAAATGAAGGTAAAGAAAGCATACCAAAGGAAGCTTCCACACCTTGAGAGAACCCACGCCGGTGACCAAAATTGGCTGAGAGATAGGCAGCACGAGAACGCGTTCATCAGTACCTGCAATAAGAAGAGAATAGCCTACGCAATAGATCAAGCGGACCACCACGAACTGGGATGACTGATACTCAAGTAAGCCTCCACATCGATACTACACCCAACTGACCCAATCAGATTTCACATCGATTCCTTACTCCGGAGACATAGAACATGACCCGGTCTTAAAGAGCACGTCCATTGAACCGCGATGGAGAGACGAGATCTAAACGGACTATGCGGAACTGAGAAGCTCTGTAGGAACAGAGTACACGTCCCTGCAATGGCAAAGAAGAACAAAGGAAAGGCAAAATCAGAAAAGAGGAAGAGAAGCCATAGACAAACATCTCTTGAAACCCTTGACCTCGTTTGCAAACGCAAGACCACGGAGACAAACCAACCACGCAGCCGTTTCACCACCGTGCACGCTTCGACGACACAAGCCGCCGCCTTCCTTGGGGAAAAAACAGAACCGTGACCAACAACGAGACGCCAAGTTACCAGCAAGATAGAGCTAAAAATCCCACTCCACAGCAAAGTGATAACTTCGGATAACCAACCAAATCGGAACTGGAGGAGCGAGTTCACCGACCACCAAACGCCACAAACTCCGTCCAACTCACTAGATCTACAAAGGGAAAAAGAGATCCGTGAGGTGAACACCAAAAAGCCGACTCAGATCTGCCGTAAAACCCCAACCGCCTCGCTGACACTCCAGCACAGAGCCCACAGACGCGGATCTACACCACCCCGGAGCTGACGTAGAGGAACCCACATCGTACCTCCGACCACAGTGCCAAGCATATCGACGGCCGGACGGAAGAAAGCAAACCGAAGCAAAAATTAAAGAAGAGGAAGAGAGGAGAGCCTCCGACGACCACGCGCTCTGAAGAAGGCCGCCGGAGCAAAGATCTAGGATGAAAGTTGAAAGGTTTCGAGAGAGTTTGGAGGTTAGGAGAGAGAAAGGTTTTTTATTGTTTTGTATATAAACATATCTTACAGTCCATTTCAATATCCAGAGTGAAGATCTATGTGGGCTATACTATCTTTTTAAGGATTAATTTAGGTCTCTTCATAGATTTAGGATATCTTCAAAGATTAAACAAAAAAAATGAAAGTATGCTTAATTTTGGTTTTTATAGGATTGTTTAGATTTTAGTTGAGATTTTTCACATCTATAAACTAATTTTGCTTATTTGAACTAAAATTTAGTCAACGAGTTGGGTCAAATAGTTTAAACTGAACTGAATTAAAATGTCATAACTGATGGCAATTAAGCGGAAGGCCACTTTATAGTGAAAGGCTATCTTCATATTCAAGATAAAACGTCAAAAATGTGAAAGATAAATATACATTTATAATTCGTGTAATTGTTTTTCTTCTGGACTCTGTTTATGAATCTGTGAGCTTATTAATTACCGTTGGGTGACTTATTGTAATTAGTATCTGAATAGTTTTGAGTATATACTGATATATGCAAATGGCTTAGCGAGTAAGAAAATGTCTCAATATAGAATAGACGAAATCAAATTTGCCTAAAGAACAACTGCTAAAGCGTGCAAAAAAGTATGAAACTTTT